TTCCCCGTAACGCATCTGCACCTCCCAGTCTAGCCCTGGGCTCTGGCATCGCTCAGCCCTGTGGCAGCCAGAGCCAGTGACTGGTCCAATTACTATCCATCTTAACAAGACCATTAACACAGCCTCGTCTGCTGCAGTAACTCTGGATAAATAGGACAGGAGCTGAAACATCCCAGCTGTGCTGTCCCAATCCAGACAGAATCTCCCAACACTGGCCTGTCTGAGGTGGGTGGCCACCACGTGGTCGGCATCTGGGCGCCATCCATGGTTATGGCAAACCCAGATGGGTGCATCCCTCCCCTGGGCTTCCTGACGTTCTTCCATGTGGGGCCTGGCCAAGGAGGCAGGCTCAGTCAGCTCAGCTTCTCGGGCACCTCAGTGGTCCAGGCCCTGGGCCAGGACAGTCTTCATGATCATCTTCATTACCACCAGTCAGGGTCAAGAAACTGAGGCCCCAGGAGGCAGAAAGGCTTGCCTGAGGCCACCTAGCTGGTAAGTGGCAAGGCCAGGGTTCCAAGTCTCCTGGCTCCAGACCCCACATTCTCCCACTTACACCACTACAGCCTGTCATGTGGCAGAGCTTACAGGGCCCAGTGATGATGGGACCTAGGATAGATACACCACAATGAGTGCCAGGAAGGCAGTGGGGAGGAGATGGAAGATGTGGCCAGGAGGAGTGGCCACTCTTGGAGAGTGTTGACCCCACAGGGGAAAGCAGGCAGAAAGAGCCATAGCCTGAGACCCTCAGATCCAGCTATGCCCCCATCTTGCCTCACTGGCTGTCAGGCACCAGAAGATCTGACTGGGGTAAATGAAGGCCTGACAATATAGCAGGTCAGACCTGTGTTTGAATCCTGCCTGGGCCATTTCCCAGCTGTGTGGCCTCAGACAGGTGAAGCAACTCTCTCAGCTTCAGTTTCTTCTTCTGTAAATATAGAGATAAAGCCTCTCTGGCAGCTGTGTTATTGTTAAGATCCCATAATCTGGGCAAAGCTCTTAGCTGAGGACCTGGCACATAGTAAGAGCTCAGTTTTCTTATTATCATTTATTTAAATATTAAATTAATTTTATTAAATATTAAATTTCAGGGTGGGGGAGGTGAGAGATACAAGCATCCAGTTATGGAATGAATAAGTCACGGGAATAAAAGGCAGAGTATTAGGAATAGAGTCAGTGATACTGTAATAGTGTTGCATGGTGATAGATGGCAGCTATACTTGTGGTGAGCAGAGCATAAGGTATAAACTTGTTGAGTCCCTATGTTGTACACCTGAAATTAGTGTGACATTGTGTGTCCCCTATGCTTCAAATTTAAAAAAAAGTAATTAAAAAAAGAAAAGAAATACTACATTTTAAATACATTTATGAAAATTTTTCTTACTTATTTTACTATTACCACTTTACTCTCAGTGTGTCTCCATCTTCAGCTATAAAATGAGGGTAGTCATGTACTTCATAAGACTATTGTGTAGCTTACACAGAATATGCCTTTATTCATGCATTCCTTCATTCAACTAATATTTACCAAGCAGCTCCTGCGTGCTCTCTTCCAGCTGCTGGGGATTGAGTTCTGGAGCAAGACCCACTTCCTGCTCTGATGAGTTTTGAGTCTGATGTTGGAAATCAGATGTTAAATACATGAATGATATAAATAAGGATCATGTTGCAGTTGTGGGGAGTGCCAACTGTATGGGGCTTAGCAAAGCATAGGCACAGGCCAAGTGGGAGGTGGCTATGCTTATGATTTCATTACGGTTTAGGCTTTTAAATATTTCCAGTTATGGGCTAATAACAATGCTGAAAAGATTTCCCTGGATTTGCACAGTATTAACTGTAAAAGATTTGCTGCCTTTGGAATAGTTTTTGTTGTGGGACTGAAAGGCTGTTTAGATGGAGTTTCTGTCCAGGCATTACCAAGGCTCAAGGTCTGCCCAGGTTGCTGGGAACAGACCTTTTTGGGGAGACCCTCCCCCACCTTAGTCTTCAGCGTGTCACTGTGCTTCCAAGTCCTGGGGGGTAGACACCTATTGGAGTCTGTGTATTTTGTGGAGGGGTAACGAACACCCCAACAGTGGAATTAACTCTGATGAAGTAGCAAGCTCCCTGTGCCCCCAGGGTACAAGCAGGCACTGGAGAGCATCCCCTGGCCATCCTTTGTACAACCAGGGACCTGAGAAGAAGCAAAGGGGCCAGTTTCAGTCCTCACAGGGAAGCACAGAGCAACCTAACGTGCTGAGGGTGTTATTTGAGAAAAGCCGATTCCCCTATGTGTTTCTGAGGACCAGTGAGTGGGTCTGAACACAGGCCCTGGAGCCAGACAGACCTGGGCTCTAATCCCACACACCCACAGTGAGTCCTAAACAGATTTCTTAATCTCTCTGAGTTTAGTTTTCTCCTCAACCCTCAGGGGTTGATGGCAGGGTCACATGGGTAGAGAGGTAAGTTCCTAGCTTGTTGTGGAGCTTCCAGAAGCCTCTGTTCCCCTCCTCCCCACCTCCCTTCCTCCCCACCTTCCTACCCCCAGCATCTTTGCTTCTGGCTGAGCCCTCCTTCTGCCACTCAGTCATCTGGGTTCAAGTCTACACAGTTTCCAACTAGTACAAAGGTGCCACACGTTTCCTGTCCTGTCCCTTTATGCTCAGCACCAGAGGATACTTTTTGTTGTGGTTGAAGCAGTAATGGGATTTTCAGGATTGCCACTGCTGAATCCTTGGGGAGGTAACTGAATTAGATTTTTAAGAAGGGAGAGGAAAAATGAGATCCAAAGAAAGAATACATCTGTGGATTTCAACCCACCAAACTTGGAGCTTCCATACATGGGAAATGGTTTCTGATTATTAAAATTTTGGAAACATGGTGCCACTAAAAAGAAAGGAAGTAGAAATGGCTCCAATTAGAAGAGCTAGCATATGTTTCTGTGATTTAATGGTTTCCCATAACAATGTGTAGCTATTTTTAAAGCAGACGAATGACTCATGATATCCAGCCCTGGCATTCCACTGTGATGACAGGAAGCTTGTGCTCTGGGGAGGCAGGCTTGGGTTCGACTCCCGCCTCCATCATTTCCCAGCTGTGTGGCCTGGAGCAAGTTATGCATCCCCTTTGCATTTCCATAAAATTGGTAGTTGTAAGGATTAATAAGATCATGTATGTGTAAATCAATGCAGTGTTTGTCCATCCATGTAAAAATCCCACAACTTTTATATTAAATACCTGGTTAACTACATTTGTCATAATTCTTAGTAGTTTGATAGTAACCTTTTAAGGCTATAAATTTTCCTCTGAGTACCACTTTGGTCAGATCTCATACACTTTGATATTCATAGTGTTCTTAATGACATTATCTTCAAATAGTTTTTTATTTATGTTTTTTGCTTTTCCTTTGATCTGAAAGTTGCTTATGAGTGTGTGTATGTGTGTTTTCTTATTAGAATTATTTCTATATTTATTGTTAAATCCTAGATGCAATGTAGTAAGTTAAAAAATGTAGGTATCAGAGCATTTCCTTTTTGGAACTTATTGAGCATTTCTTTATAGTCTAATATATAACCAATTTTTGTAAGTATTCCATGTGTATTTGAAAAGAATGATATTTTCATTTAGATCACACCAAGCTTGTTAGTTTCATTACTCAATATTCATATATGCACAGGTATGTACATGTATCTGCATATGCGTGTATATTTTTGTAGGTATACATACATGCACACAGATGCATGCATGCAAGCATGCACATGTGCATACACACACATACACACATATTCTGGAAGAGACATGGGAAACGCTCCTTCTATAACTGTTGTTTTATTGAACTCACTTCATTTCTGGCAGTTTTTTGCCTTGTATATTTTGATGCAGTGTTGCTTTGTGCATAGAAATTTGTAATCATTAGATCTTCTCAATTAACTGTGCTTTTCATTAATATCAGTCATCCTCTTTGTCTTGTCCGGTGTTTTCTGCCTTGAATTCTGCTTTACATTGCTACTCCTGCTCAGCCGACCAGTGTTGTAAATGTAGTGGCAGTGTTTATGGGGTGCTGCTGGGAGGACATGCCATCCATTGTCCATGCACACATCCAGAAAGTCTGAGGTGTGGATCATGCTGTACAGCCAGTCCTCCTCTTCCATTGGTGGCCAGATCCCAACTGGGGTGATTCCAGAAGGCTGTGCCAAGGCTTTCCACTGGGCTATCATAGCCATGTTTTCATATCACACATTACTTTCTTATGAAGCACCCTCAAGAAAATTCACTATCCAGCATTAGTTCTTTGTACCAAGGACTATTGCTTTTTTTTTTAAAGATTTTATTTATTTATTCATGAGAGAGAGAGAGAGAGAGAGAGAGAGAGAGAGGCAGAGACACAGGCAGAGGGAGAAGCAGGCTCCATGCAGGGAGCCCAGTGCGGGACTCGATCCCAGGTCTCCAGGATCACGCCTTGGGCCGAAGGCAGCGCTAAACTGCTGAGCCACCCAGGCATCCCTACTTTTTAAATTTCTTCTCTTGTCTCTCAGTTAACCTATGGTGTGTGTGTGTGTGTGTGTGTGTGTGTGTGTGTGTGTGTGTGTGTAGATAGAAAAATAGACACATAGCTAAGTGAATAAATAAAAAACTGAATTCCAAATGGGTGTTGTCTTGAATATGACACCTTAGATCTATCCAATGTCATCAGTTGGTGAAAAATACAAGTATCTGTCCCTTTTATGTCCTGTTATTTTCCAGTTGGGTTACAGATAAAAATTCTTCTTGTGGCTGGAGAGTGTTTGAACTAGAAATCCTAAAATCTTGCCAGCATTCATTTTGGTTGTTACTCAGATGCTTGATTGCAGTGGAGCAGACCATGTGAGAAATTAATAGTCAGGATTAGAATTGAATTCAGAATAGTATCTTGGTTTTCCATAAGTCACCCTTTATACCTTCTAGCACAGCAGTGGTTTTTTGTGCTATTTTGTTCTGATTAATGGTGAGTGTCCAACATTACTAAATACCTTCTTTAATTTTAGGAATCTATCTTCTGGATCTAATCTACATTGATTCTGCATATCCCGCCTCGGGCAGCATCATGGAAAATGAACAAAGATCCAATCAAATGAATAATATTCTCCGAATAATCGCTGATTTACAAGTTTCCTGCAGTTATGGTTAGTATTCCTGGTTGCTGGAATTGTGAAACTTTATGTCACTGAAATTTGAATTCAGCACCTTATCATTGAGAAAGTTCTAGAAAGCTCTACAAAGCTCTTCATTTTAATATCTTGAGCATCCAACATGTACTGGACCCTTTAACCACAGGCTCGATCCTCAGAAACATCTCTGTGTTACAGACAAGGAAACAGAGACTGAAAATAGTTCGGTTGCTTGTCTAAGACCACACATATGGAGAGCAGCGGAGCCCAGGTCTTTCTGGTTCCCAGGTCATTCATCCATGAAGAGCCTGCGGGCAGCCCCCCAGGCAGCTCTCCTCCAAGAGGATTCAGGGACCCCAGTTCCTCCATGTGGTGGCGCCACCATATCCCATGGCCTCAGAGTCCTCTAGTGGACTAGCCGGCAGGTGCAGGAAGAGAGAGAAGCATACAATAATAGGTTTTATGGGCCAGATTTGTACATGGTGCTCATCATTTTTGCTGGCAAGGCTAGGAAATGTAATCTAGCTGTGGGCCTAGAAGAAAAAAGGAGATGACTTGGTAAAACTGGCCACGCTCTGCTACACATGACCAGGTCCAAAGTATGACTGGTTGTCAGAAATGAAGTTGAGGAATAGAGAAGTCAGAACACTGGGTAGGCCATCCATGTAGATGTCGATTCCACCCAGGATGATGATGGACTCTGTGTTGTGGAACTCAACTGTGAACCAGTGTCCAGGTCCTCCAGGAAGGGGCAAGAATAACCAGGATGCCAGCCAGGAGAAGTCAGCAATGAAGAGAGGAATAGGTAGTACAACTGCAGGAATGTGCCTCTGGTGAAGGGTGAAGCAGGGTTTTCACAAGTGTGTGGAGGAATAAAAGTCTGGAAGCAGCAAAGGGAGCAGGAAGGAAACCAACCCCACCTATAATACACAGGGCATGAGAAAACTAACAGCCTCCATTTGGGAAGGCCACATGGAAGCCAGGGTGGGGTTCTATGGGGTAGGCTTGCTGAAGTAAAAGCCCTTTACACCCCTGCCAAACCCCTCCACAGGCACTTCCAGATCAGCTGTCCTGAACACAGGAGCAGTGAGGGGCCCAGACTCCCCATGCAGTCCTCCCCTGCCCAGGTCCTTTCCATTCACAAGTACATCAGCACTTGCTGTCCCACTGGCCTGGGGGGGATTATACACTCAACTTTGGGGTCAAATAGATTCAGGATCAAATCTCAGCTCTGCCTCCTGAAAAGTCACTTCCTCCCAAGTGTGAGGTTTTTCTCATTGGTAGAAATGGGAACATAATACATGCAGAGCTCTTAGCACTTTCCAGCATTTCGTTAGAGCTCAGTAAATCCTCATTTGACTCTTACCCTTGTTCACCTGCATCTTCTCAGTCATCAGCTTCATGAAGCATGTGTCATTATCCCCAGGACAAGAATACTGAGGCTCTAGAGAAACAGAATGAGTTGTTCCAAATCTTGCAGTTAAGGGACAGAGCCGTCAGGAGCTCCTCCCAGCACCTGGATGCCCATCCCAAGAGCAAGGGGACTTCGCCACCCCCTTTCTGCTCCTCTTCACAGCCTCCTTTACTACCTGCACCCCTTCTTTCAACTTGTTCTGTCCTACCTCTTGAGGAATGGCAGAGGACCAGAGAGGATTTTCAGCCCCCTTGGGTACAGTGACCATGGAGGTCTGTGGAGGGCATCTGAGAAAGAGGTGGTGCAGTGTGGCAGAGGTGTCCACTGATGGGGTTGAAACCTGGCTCTGCCACTTCTCAATGATGTGCTATTTGCCAGTTGTCGTGGTTTCTTTCCCAGTGCAACAGACATATTATTTTCCCCAAATAAGGCAGGTGTGGCATTTAAAGCAGATGCCTTCTAGAAATCACCTGGTACAGAGCCTGGCACAGAATAGGTGCTCAGGGGTCTAGACCCCTCCCATTCTTCCCAAGATGGAGCAGCACCAGCCCATGGGCCAGACTCTCAAGCTGTGCTGGGACCTGGGTCGAATCTCTACACCAGGCTGGATAGGGTTTGTTCATTCATCTCGCATTCTTGTCATGTAGGGGGTGGGAGGCTTGCCCAGTTACCCCAGTGGAAACCTGTTTTAGGGTACAAACACCTGGCTCTGGTCTGTTCTGGAAGCCTTTCTCTCCCCAGCCAAGGAACGGTGGTGACTTTAGGGTATGTGGTCTATGGCCCAGCCATCTGGGGTCGGGGAGCTCCTCAAGGGCAGAGCCCTGTGTCTTCGATGGTAACATCACTTCTCATTTGTGGATGAGGAAAGACTGAAGCCTCTGGGCTCTGTCTGTGTCTTGCAGATCACCTTACAACCCTGCCCCATGTACAAAAGTACCTGAAGTCTGTACGCTACATTGAAGAGCTCCAGAAGTTTGTGGAAGATGACAACTACAAGTGAGTGTCCACTCTTGCCTGGCCATTGGGGACCAGTGAGCTGCCACCTGCAGGGCTTGTGAAAGGTCACTGCAGCAGCACACATAAGCACAAACAAATAATGCAACCTCTGGCCCCAGCTGCAATAGGCCTCATAGTTCTTAGGAAATTGTTCTGTGAACATCTCAGCCTGGTTTTCCCATGCTGTACAGGTAGCATGAACTTGGACTCCGCAGCTGTGCATAAGACAGGCTTGGTGCTCTGGGTCCTCATGAGTGACTCCCCACCCCCCACAATACTGGGGGGAAGGCAGTGTTCTAGCCATGCCTCCAGGCTGGCAGAATTCTCCAAGAGCTTGTTTCGTGGATGAGGCAGCTCCCTGTGGCTCCAGCTGTCCGCATTCTTGCCATCTGGCACTGGCTGAGGCCCCATCTCCAGGCCATGCAGCTCCTTGGAGTAGACTAGGAGCCCTCTCTGAGCCCTTTGTCCTCATCTTCCACTCACCCTGCTCTGGCTTTCAGTTCTTTCTTCATTTGTGGCACCTGGGAATTTATCCAGCATTTTTATGTATTTAGAGGGAGAAGGAGGATTTTTCATATCAACTCTGTCTGCCACATTGATTGGACACCTTCTTGGCTCTTTCTGAGCTTGAGGCCAATTAAGAGTCTCAGTACTTTTCATATGACCTGATGATATATCAGGGGAAATCTCAGCCATCTTATAATTGATCATTTCCCCCTAAATGTCAACTTTACATGTATTCTTTCAAATCTCATCTTATTGTCTGCCATGTTTCTTTGAATCCCATTATCTATCTATCTATCCATCCATCCATCTCTCTCTTCCAGTTCTGTATTGAAAATTTGACTAGTTTGATTACTTGGTCTTTATCAAAAATCACTGAAAGTTGTAGGGAACTGTGGCCACTAGAAACATGCCCGGTTATTCCTGAGGCACTCACTAGGACCTTGGGGACAGCTGTTCAAGCAGCTCTATACCTGGCCGTATCTGTAGTCCTGGTTCTCAGCCCTAGCTGTGAATCAGAGTCACCTGGGAAGCTTTATAACTATCTGTATGTTTGTGATGGAGCCTGGAAATTTGTAATTTTTTCAAAGCTCCCTGGGTGGTTCTAATAATTAGCCATCTTTGGGAACATAGACATAATATCTTTAGTTACTGTATAATATTTTGTTAAAGCAGAGTATAATGTGAAATTTTGATCTATTACATAATAGTAACAACAACCAATGAAGGCCAGAGATTACCATTAAAATTTTGTTTGACACAAATTAAGCTCATTTTACTTACAAAGCATTTGCTGTTCCTGAAAAGAGTACCCCAGAGTGTGAAATTATTCCCACTTAGGTCCTGGGATAATATTTTCCATTCATGTGCCAGTAGTACAATTAAAGAGACAGCAGTTTTTCATTAACACTAGTATCTTTTAAGGAAGAAAATGGTCTATAAATACTTCTGACCATGAGATAATCCTTGGACAAGCTGCAGGTCATGAGTAATTACTCCTTCCACTCTGAAGGACGTTGGACACCCTCTGCCCTTACTGCTAAATAGCCTAGATTTTACAAAGGCCCTTTGTTAGGGTCCAAGTGGGGAAATCAAGGGAAGAAGTCTGCACTCACTCTCACTCCTGGGGCCCAGACCATGGACAGAGTCCCTCCCCGGGGAGGCCCTGGCTCTGAATGACACAGAACATGCAGGGCATGTGATTCTGCATGAGGAACCCACCCTCCATGGCTCAACTCATGTCCTGAAACTAGCTTTCCACCCAGAAAGATGCAGTGGCTTCTTTATTACCTGATGATGGAGCACTTCTAACACTCTGCCCCCATCAGCTTGGGAGACACTGGACCAAGGGGCCCAAACAGTGCTTGTTTTTCTTGACTCTTTGTCTATTTTATTTTATTTAAGAAAAATTGCCCAAACTCCTACCACCTAGAAAGCATGACCTTTAGCATTAGGTGAACATAATTGTGCACATTTTTAATGCATAAGAAGTGCGTATAGACACAGAGAAGGACAGATGGTTGGATGAAATGATAGAATTTATTAAAATTGGATCATGCCATACTTGCTTTTTTTAATTGAAAATAACAGAAAAAGGAACTGAAATAAAATGTAAGGAATTGTGAGCACCTGGGTGGCTCAGTAGGTTAAGCATCTGCCTTTGGCTCAGGTCATAATCCCAAGGTCCTGGGATCGAGTGCCACATCAGGCTTCTCCCTCTCCCCCTGCCTATAGCAACCCCTGCTTGTTCTCTCTCTCTCTTTCTCTGTCAAATAAAGAAATAAAATCTTTTTGAAAAAGTGTAAGGAATTACTCCTCTGCGAATAAATATTTCTTTAGAACAAGAAATGTAATTTCCTAAAAGAGCCTCCTAAGGTTAATAAGAGAGGTTTGAGTCTGTGAGTCCTGTCTTCACGAGGCCTCCACTGTGCATAGGGTCAGTTGACTAGTTACGAAAGATCAGCCCTCTCTGCCCCCCGCCTTCCTCTCCTCTTCACCATCTTGCAAATTCTTGTTAGTCGTGTTATTATTACTACACATGGTGATAATAGTTTATTATTATTTAATAATAAATAAAACCAAGTTTCTAACTTACACATTATGTTCAGGAACCATAATTCCTACTGGTTAGTGTTTTTAAACAGATTCATTTCTTACCACCAGTGTTCTTCCACAGCTTTTCCATTCCTGGAGTCTTTAACGACTCCCTTATTTAGCTGGATTCCACCACAAGGCAGGTTTTCTCAAGTCTTGCATGCTCTGATTTCCCTTATGAAAACATCCACATGTGACGGGGCCTTGCCTTGCTGAGCGGTGCACATCTACGCCTCTCCCCGACACCTGAAGACCCTGCCCCCATTGCCTTCTGACACTGGATGCTACTGTAGAGGAGTTCCAGCCAGTCTGATCCTTTCCTCTTGTAAGGGACCTACTGTCTCTGCCTGGTGGGGGAAGGGTTCCATGAAGTTCAAAGGCACAAGAGGAATGGCTCAGAGTGAAGTGTTTTGTACCAAATTTCTCTGGAACGTGGTGGCATGCCCTTTCTTCCTTTTGGAGGGACACTTCAGGTTATCTTTGACTTCTCCTGTGCCATTTCTTGGCTTTCCTCTTTCAGGGATTCCAGGAATCCATATGTTGGTGCTCCCTACCTTCCATGGACCCTAGCTTCCTCCTAAGGCTGTAATCTCTGTCTTTTCCTCACAGGCACTCCGACAGTCTACTTAGGGATTCATCTGATCCTCGATTGATCCCCTAGGACCCCAGTCTCCCTTTCCATCTTACTCCTTTATATCATCATCTCATTTTTCAGAATGAGAATTTATTCTGAAAAATAAATTCTAAATTGCTTTATTCAACCTATGTTCCAAATAAGCTGTCCTCCAGCTCAGAGCACTTGTGGCGGGGGGGGGGGGGGGTTCCGTGTGTCCCTTGGGGCTGCCTCCTCAGCTGAGCGATCTGGGCAGTGCTCTATTCCTTTCTCTTTCCTTTTTTGTGTGAGAGAATGTTCACTAGCTTGCTGTACCATTTCTTTCTGTCTTGCTCCCATTTGAGAAGCTCCATCTGGGTATTCCCTGGGGCTCCAATGGAGGGGGTGACATCTGACCCTGCTCCCACATGTGTGAGGTGGGCTGGCTCTTCATCCTGCCATGCTGTGAGGTCAGGCTTCTTCATCTTTTCCTTTTTCTCTAGCCTGAGGGAACATGGATCTCAGGCTCCAAGGAGGCAGGGAGCAAGCAGGAGGCTTTAGTTATGGGGGATCTAGTAAAAGTCTTGATTAGAGTATCCTCCATCTCGAGGGCTGTATCCCATGCCAGAAAGGGATGCCCTCAGGTTTCAAATCAGCCCCTCAGTGGAACCTTCTTTTCTGTCAGAGTATCCACCACACTGTCCACCCATTTCATCCATTTCTTGCCAACATCTGGTGCCACTCTGAAGAGGGAAAGGTAGGGACTCCTGCTCAGACCTCCCGAGAAGCCTCAGGGGGCAGGATAGGAGCCCTGCTGTGTCACACCTCTTAGTCAAACTCCACAATCCTCTTTTTCTTTCCTTGGCTGCAAGTTTCTGAAGTTCATGGCTTCATTCAGTTTCCTTGTTGAGTTGCAGCTGGTAAGTTCTACTCCTAAGCCTTTCTGATTATTTGTTGGTTTTGTTGAGAGAGGGGGAGTCTGGCACCTGGCTTCACTCCATCATTTTCACCCAGAGGTTCTTAATCTATGCTTTAAATAATGATGATGATGATGTGCCAGTCCTCATAATGCATCCATTGCCTTGTGCCTCTCTGGGGTATCTGAGAAGGGGGTGCAGTGTAATGATTAAAAACTCTGATTTTAGGGCAGCCTGGGTGGCTCAGCAGTTTAGCGCCGCCTTCAGCCCAGGGTGTGATCCTGGAGACCCGGGATCGAGTCCCACGTCGGGCTCCCTGCATGGAGCCATGGAGCCTGCGTCTCCCTCTGCCTGTCTCTCTCTCTCTCTCTCTTTCTCTCATAAATAAATAAAACATTTAAAAAAATAAAAATAACAAAAAAAAAACTGATTTTGGGTCAGACAGTCCTGGGTTTGATTGCTTCCCCTGCCACTTGCTCTCCTGTGAATTTGGGAAAGCTACATAACCTTGCTACTGCTCAGTTTCCTCATCTAATAGATGGGGACAATAAATGTACCTAGTTCACAGGCTTGCTCGAGATCTGGAGCAGACCCCAAAGTGCTCCTGGGCTCCAAGACTCTAGCCCTTAGCAGCAGTCCTGTCTCCTGACTCCAGATACATCATGTGATCCTCTGATACACCAGAGCCCCTCTGATCTCTTGAAAAATCTTTGTTTCCAGACTCTCACTCAGAATCGAACCGGGAAGCAGCTCTCCAAGACTGGTCTCTTCCAAGGAAGATCTTGCAGGTATTGTAGCCATCCCGAGTAGAGACACACCCACTAATGGCCCAGGCATGGCTGCCAGCACTGGCCCTGACGGTGGCATCAAGGACACAGTTGGTCAGCCGACTCCACTGTCCTAATAGCCTTCGTACACCAACCTTCCAGCCTCCTAATCCGTGGAGCCCCTGTGGGTCACCCCTGGACTGGATCTCTCTGACAGAGTCTGGGACCCAACAGCTCCAAGAGAGGCCAGATTAGAACCTCAAGTTGGGAACATGCACAGGGCAGAGAAAACCCTAGGTTCTTCTCCAAGTCACCTGGACCCCTAGCACTGGGCCCTCTGCCTGGGCTCGGGTTGATGTGCCCTGCAGGGATGCACAGGATGCCGGGGGACTTGGTGCCCCCAGACACGGATGGCTCACCCTTCTGGAGCATCAGCTTTATTCACATATTTGGGACATATGCACAGTGGCCCTAGTGATTAAGGGGGACAGGGGCAGGATTCCCATCAGAGGGATGGAGGAAATAGCAGCAGGATTCTAAAGCAATTTTTGAGGGCTGTAGAAGAAACAGTAGGAAACACTAACCATTCAAGACTGTTTCTTCTGGAGGTAATGCCAAAATTCTGGAGCAGAGTGGGCTCATATCAAACAGCATTCTGCCCTTGAGTCTCCTTCAAATTAGTTTGGCTAAGAGGCCTCTGCCGCCTTACCTGGCTAACATACCTTAACAGGATAAGCCAAGCCTCTGGCCTTCCCCATGTACCAAGAAGTCCCCGCAGTCATGCTTTCTTTCTACCCTCTGGACAGTGCCAGAGGACTCCTCTCCTAGCCCCCCTTCCTGTTACATGCTTCCATCACCTCTGCCCCTGCTGCACCTGGCCCGTCCCCACTTCCCTCTTCCTGCGTGCAGGAGCCATTGGGCACAGAGAGACAGAAGGGCCTGCTGTAAGCCAGACACTTACAGTGAGCAGGGTACCCTGTGGAATGAGGCAAAGACCTGCCCGCTCATGATTTAGCAGGGAGACAGGCAGCAAAAGCCGTGAGGGGGCAAAGCAAGGCCCAGGAAGTGAGATGGCAGAGGGAAGGTCTTAGCCTTGCCTTGAGGGGTCAGCTCAGCCTCTCTCAAGTGACTCTGTCCACATGCCAAAATCAAGCTTCATCTCTGCCTGAGAAAAGCAAGGCCTCTAGAAAGTTTACCAGCCGGGCCCCTTGCATGTACCTTGAATGCCTTTCCCTCGTGTTTCTATGGTTTGCTCTTGCTCATTGTTCTAAACTCACAGAGACCTGATTGTAGCTCTTTGTTTCTGTATGACTCCCCCATTTGTAAGTATTCTCTTTGTCTGTCACTGAGCCTCACTTAGTTCCCATTGAGCCTCCAGCACCTAGCACAATGCTAGTGCTCCTCGGATGCTTGAGCCTCCCAGAGTTCATGGACGAATGGATGAAAAGGGAGGAAGGACTAGGTTGAGGCTCCAGGTGGGCCTCTGGTGCACAGTAGCCTGGAGCACAAGAGGGGTCTTGTTGCTGGAGCTTCATCCCTGAGCCTCAGAGAGCCTCCTCCTCCCCAGTGCCCCGCACACCCAAGCAGCCTCACCTGCTGGCCTTGCCTCCCCAAGCCTCAGCCACTGAGTGAGCCTGCAGGCTGCTTATTATCGGGACAGATGGCAACAGAGGCATCCCCTTCCCTCTAGGCATCTATCTGACCCAGATGGTCCCTTCACTTGACCAGCACCTCCCTCAGTACCTCCTCCCTGAAGAAGAGACCAGGGCCCCACCTCTGCCTCTGGCCCAGTTCTGTACCAGCTCCTCCTACTAGGCCGGAGGTCATAGAGCTCAGGAAACTAACACTGCTGATTGGGAGCCTCAAGAACGGGCCCTCTCACTGAGCCCCAGGCAGGAAAGGAGGAGCTGTACTGACTTTTGACCCCTGCCTATGATGGAAACCAGGGCCTGGGAGCCAGGATGCAGCCCCTCGCCTAGCCTCCTCAGGGTCCACCAGACTTCCCTGTTCTAGCCACTGTCACCTCCATTTGGCTCTGCCACTTATTAGCTATGTGAGGCCAGAACCCAGCAAACTAACCAACCACCAGCATCAGTCAGATTCCCGGCAGGAAACAGAATTGCTCCCTCCACCCTACCCCAGCTCATATTAAGAAACTTTAATGGAGCTGGAATGAGAATTACGTACAGAATAGTAAGGCACCAGTGCCTCTAGGCTGAGGGACGTAGGAAGGAAAAAGTGTCACCAACTCCAGTGATTGCTGAGCTGAGGAGGACTTGGCTTCTGAGGGGGCAAACAGAACAATCGGCGTACCCACCAAGCCTTAGTTTCTCCATCTGTAAAGTGTGCATCATATGCTTCCCTCCCATGGTAGTTGTGGGAGTTTATTGAGACCATGTCTGTGAAACACTTAGTACAGTGCCTGATACACAGAACACTCTCATCAAGTGTAACTTTATTAGGATGATGTGATTGTCATCAACATTATGATTGTGCCTCTGTCACTGAATCGACCTTCAGCTTTTCGTGAAACATCACTGCCTCGGGGGTGCTTTCCTCCCACCTGTCCCCCACCCTTCCGCCCCACATCAGGCCCCTGTGACACTAGGATTGGCAAACTGTGGTGCAAATTCAGCCCACCCCTGTTTTTGTATTGGAGCACACCACACCCATCCGCTGACATATTGTCTGTGTCTGCTTTCCATGAGAGTGGCAGAGTTGAGTGGTTGGGACAAAGAACCTATGGCCTCCAAAGCCTAAAATACTCACCATCTGGCTTTTTACAGAAAGCTTGCCAACCCAGTGCTCTACACTCTTGCAGAGCCAGTCTGTCCTTCTCCATGGCACTTACGCCTGTGGGAACTGAAGTGTTGTCTGTGCAGGTCCCACAGTAAGGACCCTGTCGGGAGGCCCCCGAGCCTGGCACAGAGGGGCCATAGGGGTCGACTGCACTCGCCTGGCCTTGAAGCTCCTCACCGGGCCTTCAGGCAGTGGGCTCTGGGAGGCAGGCAGCTCCAGGGCTGCCGACTGCTGACTCCGCACTCCCTTCAGGGAAAGTGCTTATGCGGCACTTTTCACACAGTGCTGTGAGCCCGGCTCACAGGAGTGTTTTCCACCAGTTTTCCAAAGCCCTGGCTCCTGCCCTGGAAGCAGGATATTAAGGTTTTCATTGATCACCAGAGGGCCTGGGAGCATCTGGAAGGCTTCCGATGTGCTCAGTGGTCCTGGCTTCCCACCTTAGCCTCGAAGCCTCTCTGAGGACAGAGAGGCGGGTGCTGCCACAGCCTAGGATAACCAAGGGGTGCTGTGGAGGGGGGGGGCAGAGGAGCAGCTCCCGGGAAGCCTCCCCTCATCTGGCAATCAGACCAGGCTGCGTGGCAGGAGCCCAGCCAGGCCCAGGGACAGGAATGTGCCTCTTGCAGTCCCAAGAATGGGAGGAACGTGGCCTCCCTCAGCTCTTTGGATGGGGGTTTGAGCTACAGCTCTGGGCTCCCTCTTCAGCATTTGGGCACCCATCCCCACACCTGCCAAGGAGAGGACCCAAGATGCCCTCACTGGTTCATGCACTCAGGACATACATGCGAGGGGCCTGCTGTGACAGGCCCTTGCAATGAGCTAGGTACCCAGTGGAACCAGGCAAAGACCTGCCCAGGTGGAGCTTAGCCCTTAGCAGGGAGCCTGGCAACAAAAGCCATGAGAGGGCAGGGAGGTGTGGCACAAGGAGACAGAGGAGGCCAGCGTAGCAAGACCAAGGTGGTTGTTGGTCTCCCTGACCCTTCACAGCTGTGCCCGCTTCTCTAACCAGTTCGCCTGCCTCAGGCACTGAGGACTGCTGACCTGGCCCTGGGAACAGCTGGGGACGTGGGTCTCTCAGAGGTCAACATCAGCGTGGTCCCGAGTCGAGGCTGTGCCCTTCATGTCTGTGATGGCCCCCGCGGCCTACAGAGCTGCCCACTCTCCACCCTGGGGAGTGGCCGTGCTGGCAGCCCTGCACCAACAAATAGACTGTGAGAACGGAAATGGAGAAACCTTCTCAGTTTCTGGGCTGTGAAGGATAAAGGGCCAGGAATGCCACGTTTTCAATCCCCATCCCCCCCCCATATGTAATGTTTCATTTATATAAATGAACTAATATTTTCCTGGAGAGCAAAAATCATAAAGAACGTTGACCCCCAGAGAGGGCAAATAATGTTTGTGTGTGCCTTGAAACTGATGAAGACATTTCCAGATTCAGTCAGCTCTGCCTCCACGTGGCTGAACCAACTGACAGGTTTTCTCTCAAGAGTCCTTGGCAGCAAAGCAAGGCCATGGAAAACCTCAGCACAGGCCTCAGGTTTCTGTACTCATACCTTCAGACCTGCTCTCCGTATACCTTTATGTCTTCCTTTTCTTACTGTCTTTTGGGTAAAAGCCCTGCTTTGGAGTCAGGCAGACCTGGGTTCACAGCCCAGGTCCAGCACTTCTTAGCTGTGGGACCTTGGGCAGTCAGCTTACTCTCTCTGAGCCTCGGTTTTCTTGTCGATGACATGGCTGTGAGAATAAATACCTCACGTAGGCTTACCTCACAGGACTGAGGCTGTGCCAGGAAAGCCTTTCTCAGCACAGCACCTAGCACATGCTCACCACTCAGGATTGCTGGCTCATGGCCAGCATAGGACAGGCTCTGACTCTGTTCTGATGGAGGGACAGCATGACACAGCTGACAGAGCAGGGGACAGGGAGCCAGAGGGCCCTCCTCACTCACCAGCTGCACCAGGTACCACTGCTGCATAACCAGCTACCTGGAACCTAGTGGCACCAAACCACCATTTTGTTATGAGCATGGGTTCTGCAGGTCAGGAAATAGGGCAGGACCCAGCCAGGGTGGTTTGTCTCTGCTTCACCCTATCTATCTGCGCCCTCTGCCGGAAGTCGAAGGTTCAGAGGCACTCAGTGCCTAGGCGGCTGGAATCATCTGGACATGTGTGGCACTGGCTGTTGATGAGGCTACAGCTGGGGCAGAGCACATGTACATGTGGCCT